TGTTGCTAACCAAGAAGTTCCCATCGTTATTCTCTGGGAAATTGGGAACATTTCGTTAGGAGTCGTACATTATTCCTTTAACGCCTGATGCTGAGCCGTACGCTGGCAAACCCTTCCCGATTCCTTTGGCGTACTTTGAGGCGACGAGACAAGAAATCGATCGACTCGTTGCTTTTGGTGTTCTGACACCGGATTCTTCATCTGAGTGGGCGTCGCCGGCGTTTGTGATCTCGAAGAAGGACGGATCAGTGAGGTTGGTGTGTGATTTTCGCCAGCTAAACAAGCGTTTACGACGAAGTTTCTATCCGGTGCGTTCGGTCCCTGAGATGATTCGCTCAGTACCAAGGCCAGTGTATGTTCCTTTGACGTTCCACTCAGCTACTACACAAGGGTGCTAGCCGGGCAAAATCGTGATGCAACTGCCATTGTGGTGGCTGGCATAGGAAAATTTGTCTTCAATCGACTACCGATGGGTGTTTCGACGGCACCTGACGAATTTCAAGCCTCGTTGGACGACTTGCTTGGAGATTTAAGCTACGTCCGCGTTTACTTGGACGATATTCTCGTGATCTCGGAAACGCTGGAGCAGCACATGGAACATTTGGAGATGGTGTTTACGCGTCTCATTGACGCAGGGTTGACTTTGCACCCGAAGAAGAGTAAGATTTGTGCGGATGCGGTGGACTACCTTGGTTACCGCCTAAGTGAGGCTCGCATTGAGCCAATCCCGAACAAGGTGCGAGCTATCACAGCAATTGCTCCGCCTCGCCACCGTCGTGACCTTCGACGATTTATTGGCATGGCGAACTACTATCGCGACATGATCCCCAAGCGAGCCGCTTTGTTTAGCCCACTAACAGCGCTACTATCGCCATCAAAACCTTTTAAATGGACGACCGAGCTACAAACGGCATTTGAGGCAGTGAAGGAAGCACTCGCTGGCACAGTGAAGCTGGCATTTTCAGAGTCTGGCAATCCTTTTCACGTCTACACAGACGCTTCACAACTACAGCTCGGAGCCGTCATCATGCAGCACGACAAACAGCTGGTATTCTGGTCGAAGAAATGCAATGGTGCTCAGACGCTTTACCCAGCAAACCGATTGGAGTTACTGAGCATCGTTCTCCTGTTGCGCGAATTTCGGAGCCTGCTTCTTGACCAAGAACTACATCTTTTTACGGATCACTTGAGCTTGACGTACTCTACGTTTCATGACGTACACATGATGCGTTGGCGGCTAGAAGTTGAGGAGTTCGGCCCGGTGTTTCACTACGTACCTGGTCAGAATAATGTAGTCGCCGATGCGCTCTCGCGTCTGCCGATGAATGAAGATCCCCCGACCGAGCTGGAGGAGAGAGATAGTGATGGTACTATGCAGACATGCGCGGTAATGGATACCGACGACGACAACCTGTTCAACTTCGACATGCACACAGTGGCGCAAGAGCAAAAGAATGACTCCAACCTGGAAAAAGACTGCAAGTGTGAGCTTGGTGGAGTGCAGCTATGGGTCGATCGACACTCGAAGAAGGTGCTCGTACCTGAAAGCCTCCGTAACAAGCCGCTAGCGACATATCACGAGTGGTTTATCCATCCCGGCGCCAGCACTATGAAGACAACCATCAATCAAGTGTTTACTTGGGCAAAGCTGGACAGAGACGTCACGAAATTCGTCGAAGCTTGTCTGCCCTGCAGCAAGGCCAAGCATCCCACTGTTCGATACGGCAAATTACCGGTTAAGAAGGCGATTGCTTGGCCATGGTACGAAATCGCTGTGGATTCTATCGGGCCCTACGGCAAGCGGAAATTCAGGGCATTTACAATTATTGACACATCAACGAGGCTGATAGAAATCTTACCTGTACTCGACGGGACCAGCAGCGAGGCTGCCTTCCTACTTGACCGTCACTGGCGGATTCGTTACCCCCCGTCCTGTGAAGTGTATTTACGATGGAGGAAGTTAATTCAAGAAGGAATTTCTCGAGCCTCTCGATAGCTACGGCATTGAACATGCCCCTACTACTGTGCGCAACCCGCAGGAAAATGCGGTATTTGAGCGCGTGCATCGCGTCATTGGCGCCAAAATTGCGAACCAAGACGCTGAAAACTGCTGATGAATGGGAGAAATTCCTGAATAATACGACTTATGCACTGCGTGCGGCATACCACTCCATGACAAACACGTCGCCAGCTCAACAGGCCTTCGGACGCAACATGTTCTTTGACATAAAGCATGAGACAGACTGGGTCGAGGAGCGCCGCCGGAAGGCAGACCAGATCAAGAAAAACAACGAGCGTGAAAATAGCAAGAGAGTGAGCTGGGACTATACTCCAGGAGACAAGTTTTACTCCGTCGCGACCCTGGTGTCCAAGGGAAGACACTGCCGCTTTTCGACGGCCCCTACGAGGTCCTAGCCGTGCAAGATACGGGAACGTTGCCACTCGACAAGGGTCGATACATCGAGAATGTCAACCTTCGTCGAGTTCGTCCCTGCAATAATCAACGTGGAGGAGACTGTGATGAAGCACAGCACTGACGTGCTGTTTTATTCAACAGCATGCAATGGCGAGCGAAGCCATTGAGCACATGGATGTATACAAGCTGCATCGGCATAGGAAGTTGAAGCAGGACTTCCACAGGTGCAGCATTCATATGCTTGAGGTAAGGGCATTCAAGTAGATTGTAGGAGAAATGGGTAGCAATCACTTTGTAGGAGAGCTAGGAGCTACTACTCGTAGGACTTCTCCGACATCCTAACTAACTCAGTTGTCAATTTACTACAAACACAGCAAGTAGCCAAACCCAACACGCGACACCCCCAAGTTCTGTGGATTATTTCACCCATTGCAGCCGAGCCATTTCTCTTCAACTGGATCATATTTTGGGGCCGACACCCTTCGCAGTCTCCAACCGGTGCAAGGCAATGTAGTTTTCGTCTGAAAAGCAGGAAAGAACCTGAAATCGAGCGTTGTAGCAGATACCCGTTCTGTTAAGAGGGAACCGACACTGTCGGAACCTCTTCAACTCCCCCACATATTAATCATTTCTTTGGTCCAAAACGTCGAGAAATCGACTCAAATAGTCGAGACAAATCTGTTGAACGCGTTTGGTAATACTGCCCCGACATGATGTGAACAGATACCCAGAATTGGTACCATTTTTTAGACAACTTGCTGCATTTGTGTCCGTAATAGGATTCGATTTGCCACGAACGTGTGGGTTAAATCCGCATTTGCCCAGGATTACGGCGGACGTAAATTAGGGCCTGTAAAGGACCATTTTCCTCATTTACGCTGGCTCAAATTGGGGAACGCCTG